AACATTTGACCAAGGTTTAGCTCCCCAAAATCATATTTTTATCTCCGGGTATTATAAGTATTGTCTTTATCACTTCTGTTTTCGTGAAAAACGTCGTTTGTCTACTTCACAGTAGTAGAAGGTAGAAAAGATTCGTAAGACAACAGTAACAATGAGCAATTTAAATCTCCATCAAAACAAACTGTCACTTAAAAAGTGAAATCAGCCAGACGTCTCCAATCAAAGTTGAAGCACACTTTCAACGGAACCAAAAATATTGTATAAGAGAAATATATTTTTCATAGAAAATCTGTTTCACTTAATGAGTTTTACTGTAACCTTTAGAAAGATTACCTCATAAACAGTCAGCAAAAGTTCGATCTCACCGGAACGCATCAATTCAACTTCTAATTTCGCTATAATCGTTTCTTCTGTCTGTGTTCAAGCCCCGTAAACAGTACTGTTCACAAGGTTGAAAATGGACAAGACAGATGAATATGTCCTGTCTTTTGCACTCAAAAATCTTCTCGAAAATGCTCACCTTGAGGTTAAGACAAAAGGAGAAACAGATTGCTGCTTAAGTTGAGAAGCAGATTGCTGCTTAAGCTGAGAAGCCAATTGATGTTTTTGGAGAGGACCGCACACCTGTTCAACGCCGGGAAGGCAACTACGCTGATCTTTTCAATATAAGCGTAATGTGTAAAGAAACGAGAGTTGAATAGCAGATATAATAGCAAGACTAACTTTCTCATCAATTCAAATAATTTTGTTTTGACTCTGTCAGACAAGCCTGCTTTTCTAGGCATCTTGAAAAAATGTGGAACTGCTTCTATCAGTTTCTCACTTTGCATTTGTAAGCTCTTCAAAATAATGTTCGGTAGGAGACCGAAAAGAGGCAAAATGCACGATCCTGTCGAAAATCAAAAGCAAATGACTGCTTTTGAAGTGAACCCCTAGTCAACTGCTTGAAAGACAACTATGCTGATCATTACATAAAGAAGTGGTCAAAAGACAAGTGTTCTAGAAAAAAACTGCACGATCGGCTTAAACTTTGTTTAAAGAGACACACGTTCAAGGGACTTTTGTTATTTACCTGACTCGCTCTGAAAAATGTGGAACTAGACAGTTAAGTTGCATAGACACGCTCTAGTCAATTTCTCTTGCTTTACAGGGCGCACTTCTGTGTAATGATCGGTATGGTTACCTTCCAGACAACTGGCGGGGTTTTATTCCCCCCAAAACGCTTCAATCTTTTGTTCAGTCCCAATATGATGCTCCCTTCAACGTGCCTTCAGTTATGTTACTGATACTTTTCCTAGAGTGTGCACATTTACTAGGAGAAATGCCGTGCCAAAAAATAGTGCTGTAGCAGGCGAATATCCAGATGCGAGCTCTTTGTCAGCTTGCGGAATAGAGGATAGCTTCATTACCGATTTGAAGCAAACCTTTAATTTAATGTCGAACGTGATATTGCATAACAAACGTGTTCTTCACCGCTCTTCTTCCACACTGTGCGTTTCTGGTATAATGATCGGTAAAGAGGTGTCCTAAGCAGTCAATGGGGTTGAATATCCTCTAAATTCTTTGAAGCTTTTTTAGGTTAATAGCTGCATTTTCCTCTCCGCCCTAGTGAGCAGAGCTTTCAAAAAAACCCTGCCTACCTAGCTAAAAATGGAGCTAGCAAGTACTAGCAGCAGCCGAGCAGTATTCAACTGTTTTCCTGTTGACACGCAGCATCACCAAACATGACCGTCCAAGCAATTCCCTTTATAAATGTGACCGTTCAGGTGTCGGCGGGTTTGCGCGGTGAACTATACTGGGACAGAAGTGGGCGACTGCACTTCATAAAGAAATTAGAAGAATGCGTGTACGCTGCTGTACACTGCCAAATTTGTGAAGATATGCGATGCATAAATAATGTAATTGGCGTTATGAAGCCATATATTTCTACACGCAAAGAGGTCAGAGCATTTGAGTGCTCAGAAACCGAAAGCGCTTTATTTACTCTGTATCCAGCTCATTAAGAGCTGCTGCTTAGATGTGTGCTTTGAGGGTTTAAAAGCATTTCAAGTTTAGCAACGGCGTTCGTTCTTCATTCAAAGGACTTTTAAAAAACTGGACTACACCGGCAGTCAGTAGTCCAAGAGCTTTCTCCCATCCTAGACTTTCTGAGGAAAGGCTGCGGCAGGATAAAATTCAGAAACTCGGGACAAGACATGGTAAAGCAACCACTTGCACGAAAAGACGTTGTTATGTGGAGTGTTTTAAGTCATGTCTAAACAGTCTTTGAGCGAATAAATAATGGAAAGAAAGCGGACAAAAGCTTCTTGAGGTCCCTTCACTTTACTAATTTACTTACTTCCCCCTCCTCTTTACATCTTCCTCACAGGCGACATAGAAAGGTAAATTTGTTGTCCCCTCAGTTTCCGCCACCAAAACCCAAGCAACGACCTGCTTACAATCGAGAGGACCACTTAATGCCAAACCAGTTGCATGAACCAACCAATTTCCTCCTCCTTCGATCGCGTTGTATCACTTACTGCTACCTCGGACATTGTACAGTGTACCGGTGCCATATATCGTTTCCCCTATATATTTGTGTGCAACCAACTCCAGATGGGTTGCGTCGGTTGTGCGCCAGGAAGTTGGGAGATATCTCTCGCCGTTTTCGACGAGTCAAACATACTGTATATGGCATCGGTACACTGTACAAAAAAAGCGGGCATCTGATCGGCATCTTCCCCTACAGCCAATCAGTACGATGGATCCGCCTTGCCTCAATCAGAACCAACTGTTTAAGACAATCTTCCTGCTTAGCTGCCTTTTGCCCCTGACTTCCAAAGCATTGTTAACAGAGAATGAAAGTGGAGAAGATATAGAGTACGCGTAAAACACGGGGACAGTAGTTTATTCAGATTTATGGTTACGTGCGGCTTGTCTCAGAAAGAACTGGATTAACTGAATATTTTATCACTAGTCCAAAACACGTATTTAAGTTGGTGACGAGCGCGGTATTGCACATACATTTTCCGCTTATACGGCACTGTGTTGTACACGGCGGGTTCGTGGTGTAATGGTCGGCGTGCTTGTTTTCAAGCAGTCGACGACGACACAATTTTCCGCATAAGCAATAATACATTTTCCAGATTCTATGGCGTACACTTTTCCTTCTTTTCTTAGTTTCGTCAAAAGTCGTATTAAGAAGACACCGAAAAGCCGAATATAGAGATTGCGCTCTAGAGAACATAGGAATAATCTGTGTATATTAACAGTCAAGTTTATTTTATACTGAAAGGAACGGAATAAATAAAAACTAAATCTCCTAGATCACAACTCAGGTTTAAGGCAGCAAGAAACGTTTGTTGCGTGAGCACCTCGCCGACACCTGAAAACACCGGTAGGAAGTTTGTGGCGCAGTGGTGAGAAAAGTTGCCTCCAAGTGGCGGGCGACGATTAGGTTGCCTGATGAGGAAACGGAGGTTGCATCTGCAAACTTTTCAGTTCTGCAATATGGCGTAAGGATTAGGTAGTCGTCCTTAAAACAGTTAAAGTGACTGGCTTCTTGTTAATTCGTTTTTCACTTGACCTGATTCTCAGTCAACAGTTGAAGCCGACTGTTCAACTGTCAGATTGTGTAATTTTTGTAACAGTTCTCATAGTCGGTGTTTCCAATGCGTACCTCAAAACTTGCATGTTGAAAAATGCAGTCCGTAGTTCCTGGGTGGTCAGCACTGTTCGCTCTTGGGGGTTAAAGAAGGTACTGTTCCAGGAAACTCACTTCTTCTTTGCATAGCCACAATGAAGGACACCTCCGAAATCATGGACTCAGATACCTTCAAGGCACGTAAGAAGCGAATAGATTGACTTAGCTTATGTTAGAGCTAAAACATGTCCTCAAAAATCTGCAAAAAGCAACAGAATATTTGGGGTTGCTTTAAAATGTTTTGCATTGCTTTTTTATTGTCAGCTGGAAGGCTGTACATCTCTGCCCAATTTTTTTCGCCAAAACATAAGTGTGCTTATTTAGTACACTACTTTATACCTTTGACTAACGTTGCACCTATCTGCATCAATAAACGTTCTACTCCTCCTCAAAAATGACTACTTATTGCTAATTTCACAAAAAGAATAAATGGAAATTTCTAGGTTTAAAAAACTGGAACCTTCTACCGCATCTTATTCGTACGCTGTATAACGGGGTTTGAGGCTTTTTTTTTTTTTTTTATAAGGGTTATGAGGCCTACTTCATTCGTGAAAAGTTTCCTGCACAAAGTATTAGTAAGAAATGTCATGACTAATTTAGAGCCTTTCGGAATAACGAGAATGGAATGCGCAACGACTTAGCTTTGAAAAATTAGTATACGGCATCGACTGAGCTTTCCAGCACAGACTGATCATCTCCTTTCGATGGTATTGTTAGACGGCCGAAAAAATTCGTGGCAAAATGCCAAATGTCTTATAGTTTTTCTTTTTCATAGTTGATTGTGATTGTGTGTGCATGTATTTGTTCTGGTTCGATGACGTGTTGTATGTGCTTTTGGTTAGTAGGTTCGTAGATGTCTATTTAGTCAGCAGTCATTTAGTGATTTTGTATTGTCTTTGCTGCCATTCTTGGAAGTCTTCAGTAGAGTATTTTGGTACTGAATAATGGGATGTGCATTCGCATATTCATTTTTGCTTGCACTATCTTTGTCTTTTACCATGGGCGAAGAAGATTATTATTCGATACTAGGAGTTGAAAAAACGGCTTCTCAAGCGGCAATCAAGAAAGCTTTTCGTAATTTAGCTATGAAATATCATCCTGATAGAAACAAAGCACCAGATGCTGAGGAAAAATTCCGCAAGATAGCCGAAGGTTGGTGTGGTTGAATTTTAATTCTCTTTCATCTCGTTTTTAGTTCTTAAGCTTTCGATTTTGTTGCGTTTACTCCTTCGTCTATTTTTTGTTCGTTTTTTTTATTTTTTTTACTTGTTTTAGTCTTTTTCCTTTTTTTTCTACTTGGGAAAGTCGTAGGCATCAATAATAGTTAATCTGTCAGCTTAATTAGTGGTTTTTTTACTAAAATCTGCGGAAAAACAACAGTAATTGACTACTCAGTGATGAGCGTGTCCAGCAAAATATGGCTAATAGAAGTCATTGGTTTAAACCTTATCTCAACTTTTATTAGTTGAACTTGTAAGTTCTTTGTTGATTGTTAACTTTTGTTTACGTTGCAACGTCTCTTTATGATACACATTTTTTATTCGTATTCTTCAGTTGCATTCATCATTCTTTTTACAGCTTATGAGACATTGGCAGATGAAAAGAAAAGAAGGGCTTATGATGCCGGTGGCTATTCTAATGAACATTTTGCTAATGACTTTGACTTCGATGCGTTCTTCCGGAATTTTCAAGAAAGTAACGATTTGTTGTTAAAAATTTTTGAAACTTTTGTCTTTATTTTATCTTACAGTATATTCAAATTTTTTTTAGGCATGAAGATGCACACGAGCGCTCATATGAAGGCTCATATGGAAGCTACAGGAGGGATTTTTGAGGACCTTTGGGAAGGTTTCGGTGACGCATTTCCGGGTTTTGTATCTCTAGACGATTTTGATCATTTTGGGTCCTCTGGTTCACACGTTGGAGACCCAGCGTCGATGTATTCTGAATCTGTGAATGCTGGAGGTAATAGAATTGAATAATTTTTTCGTAGCATTTTTCTCATCGTGAGTATTATCTTAACATGTTTTTTCCATTATTTTTTATTTCAGAAATCGATTTGCAGTTGTATGGATTAGGTAGTGTTAGGGCATACTTTGGTATTTATAAGGTCTTGACTCATTCTGGACTAGTAATGGTGAAATCATAAATTTCCTTAGCTTGTGAAATACTCAGAGAATAGTGTAATCTATTTCAATTTATTTCTGTAAAGTTAAATTTATACATAGAACAGGGGTGGTTGGAAATAAACCTGTTCAATTGCTGATTTGTTGAAATTGTAGTGCTAAGGCTTTAATTAGTAAATAAGAAGTTGTTAGGAGTCACTCAGTAAAGTGCAGTACGTAAGGCAAGGGTTCGTTGTAAAGTAAGAAGTTATTTTTAATTGTTATTATAATAATTAGTACTCCCTTAAACTTATCACTGCACTGCTTACTACATCTGTTATCAAGAAGCTAGGTTTCATTTTTTTTCTTTTGAATGCCCGAAAGATTCTTGCATTATTTGGCTTCGTTAATATGTCGTAATTCTCCAAAAAGTTGTGTAGTTGCATTACAACTCCGAGAAGATGATTTCAAGTCATATGTTCACTGCTATACTTCTTGGTGCCAAAAATTTATTGATCTACTTTCTTATAATAGAAAGCTTGTTTTCTTGGATGGTACTTTTGGTAGAATGCCGTACTTGCGTTTGCGAAGCAGAATTTATCTGTTTTTACGACTAGGTCTTTTATTTGCAACGCGCACTTTTGCAGGAAGTAGATTTGGACTAGAAGAGCTACGATCAGTGAGCGGGGGATGTTGTGTAGGAAAAGTTGTAGAAAGTTAGACTTCGTAAGTCATGATTGTGGAAAAAATAAAAAGTTGAAAAACGTTCTAAACTGCCTATTTCTTAAACGGTCACTAGTTTTCTGGGAGTCGCAGTTCCAGATTTTTTTCATTTTTCGTCTCTTATTTTCAGATTTTCTAGTAATTGTTACAAATGCTTTTGAGATAGGGAATGAAAATTGCAGGTCAGCGGTGTCGCACTGTCAAGCAGGTTGTTGGAAACACAGTCACCACTCATACAGTGTGCATGGGACACTAATCATTTTGTGTACAATTCTCCGCTTATTTCTTCTCTCCAAGTAATCAGGATCCGAAATTATTGATTTGGATTGATGCCGGATCCAGTTTACTTTCCTTCTTATTCTCTCAGTTTGCGGGCTTTTTAGCGGGTTTTTTTTTCACACGTACATGGGCATCGCTCAGTTCTACTACCACTTTCAAACAGACTTCGAAGTACTTCCTTTTTTTTTTCATTGATATAATGAAGGATTCATTTTTTTGGAGGATTTATGTTCTTGCATTTTTAAATTCACAAACACAGTTGTACATTGAAACCTTTAAAGTTTAAAGATGAAGTTTATTGTTGTTTTTCAGTTGCAAATAATAGTCTGTTTAGGACGCTACTGTAATAAAGTGCTGATTATGAGAGTTAAGTTTATATATGTGAATTTTCAGGCACGATTAGTCGTGGACTATACTGAACAGTTTGTTTCCTTACTTATCAGTGTGTTAGTGACGGAGGTGGAAATT